ACTAGCAATTCGTAAGTAATATAAATATTTTTTAGATCTTTTTTTTTACTTCTCTCAGTGCAATGTTTTATTTCCATTACATATCTTCCCTTCGACTCGTTTAATTAAATATTCATACCGATGCTTGATGTTGTTGATTTATTTTAAATTTAATCGTTCTCGTTTATTTCTTTTTAAAAATTTAATTAAAGTTATAAAGCTAAAAGATAGACACACTTAAATGTTAGCAGTCAAGTTCAAAGATTTTGGAGAACTTTGTTATTAAAATCATCAGAAAATTATTGCAACAAAGCACTCGCAGAATATTTGAGTTGACTATTTAATAATGCTAATATTAAAGTCAGGAAATACTCCCAAGAAGATATGGATGTCATTACATATTATTGCGGATTGAGGACATATCCGTAAAAGAGCGATAAGAAACTAGGCGCTTCCTCGGAACCGACTAAATTAACGATATTATAGAAAAATGGACGATCGATCATGAGGTCTTGAGTTTCCTGAATTATTTTGAAGACCAACTTCATTCCTGGAACATATTAGGATACATGTAGCATTTATACACGATAAAAATAGATTCTCATTGACTTTCGTTTATTGCATATGCAAAAATAAAATTATATAGAATTAAAAAAAGTACGTAATTGTTAAATATAAAATAATAAAACCCGAGACAAAAGACACATGTTCCAGTGCAAAATAAACTTTAGGAAAGAGAGATCTTTAAAAAATATAGAATTGTGTGCGAAAGAAGATACAAAAATTATGATGGAATAAAAATTCATACAAAACATACAAAAAATTGCTTGGAAATACATGTCAAAGGAGGATATATATAGCGAGTTTATTTGGAATTAAACCTAAAGTAAAGTTAAATCTTTTCCGAATTGTTTTATTACTTGATCTTAATTATGCGCAAAGAGATATTAGCGAATATCAGATATTTGTTACAATTATGCATAAAATCAGCGAGTAATGTTTTTGTTACTCTTACTACTTGCTATTTGAATATCCTCTATTCGCAATGTGAAACGCGAGTGTGAGAATTGAAAAAAATGTTTTCCTTTTTGTTCAGTCTTTACAAAGATGTCAAATAAATAGCGATAAAATTATATTTTTCTCACGCGATACATGAGATTTTGTAATTCGATATAAGAGAGAATGTCCATCACATTTTTTTTATTAATAACTACATCTCCAACTTTATTTCTCACGTACATATAATTACCTTAAATATTTGCATATTTTACATTATGTGTAACTTTACGTATGGTTGTTTAGTTTATATTTGCTTTGTTATTGAACATTTTATTTTTAATTTTAATTGTTAGTTCCTACATTTCTATAGGTTATTAAGTAATTAATTGAGTTCATTTGGATGATTCAGGCGTAAAAATCCGTCCAGTGAATAAAGTTAATGGATCAGTTTCAATGCCACGCTGTGTTGCGATAGCGTATAAAAATGGGCGATTAACCGAAAACTCTTCGGATCTTCGAGGTGAGATTTTCGTTAGGAATCCTGAAACTATCATATTATATTTATTTATATTTGTATTTATTATACATAATATTATGCATGCAATAGATATCTTATAATTCTTAACTCTTTGTTCAAACTCATTTATTTATACTGTAATATCATATATGCTAAACGTATACCTATATTGTAAAGAGTATAATAAAACAAATTAAGTAGAAGTTGTGCGCGCGTAAGAAACTGAATGTGTAGATCAATGTCGAGCACGGAGAATAAGTACATAGTATAATAAAAAGAGAGACTATATTAATCTATTTAAAAGAAGATATTCGAGTTAGTCGCGTGTATAAAAGCGTTTTAATACAGTGTGTTTTGTATTTATATTGTTACGAAGATTAAAATGTCGACAGTATTAGGTAATATAACAGGAATGTGCACATAATTTTGAGTGCGTGTAAGGCACATATGAATAATACGTATGGCGTCATCTGGTCTACATATGGCGACTGACCAGTGAATGTTATAATTGTAATACTGGGATCAGTCGACGCAATACATGATTAATTTCGTAACCCGTTATATTTCAGGCTTAGCAACGATTCCGGAAAACAGTGTTATGGTGCGACGACTTCCAGATTCTTGGGTTTGATCAACTTTCACGATCGAGTAATGGAACGGATGATCGATATAGATTTCTTCCTCCCATACCAAAGACAACGTTTCTATGACTATCCCTGAAAGAAAAGTGTCGCTGATGGAGGCAGGAATCCTTTTTGCGTTGTTAAACATAGATATCATCAACCAAATCGTTCATCACAAATCATTCTCGTGACTGACAATTTTATATTATCTTTTATAAAGTAGTAAAAAGCAAAGAGAGAGACAAACATCATGTGTCGAAATGGTATGAACGAAGATAATGCATTTTAGTCGAAAGCCTTTAGATATTTTACCCTTCGATACAGAAAGATTCGCTATAACATTCAATTAACTGATGGTGGGGAGAAAACGAATGCGATTAAAAACAAATTTTAACTATATGCACATACATATATTCAAGATTCTGGTTATTATACACATGCAAAATATTGACGACATGCAATACACATACCGCGTACTGTATATATAAACCGCATACGTATTATTTTTATTTTATACTACATTAACGTTAATCATCATAACGTTAATGCAGCAAAATAGAAAATGCAACATGTATATGTGGAGGGGTAAAAGCTGTAGTGGTGTAAGTCAAATTTTTTAAACTATTGACTTACATCACTGTGGCTTTTACCCTTTCATATATAGGTATATATTGCAGTATACATTCGGACAAAGCAAATAAGCGCGAACAAACGCGAACGAACAACTTCAATGAGCGTGAATGGCGAGTTCGCGAGTAGCAGCTACTAGTATATAAATATTTAATACATATATCGATATTAAAACTAAGAGTAAAAAGACGAGTGAAAATAAACGATCATACACCGATTACATTATGGATTATGAATGAATCCGTTAAACAATGTGACTACGTCTGTGGATTTTCCGTCTGTCTTGACGATACGATACACGAATGGATGATCGATCGAGAATTTTTCCAGCGGCGTGATCGAGATTGCCGAGATTTTGTCCACGACGATCGCTGAAACACACGATTGATTATGATATGCGACTCACTTCCCTCGTCCGCTCGTATCGCAAAATTGTGGAGCAGAAATATAACATGCAAACGCAATGCTACGTAAATACATCACCGCGCTACTGCAAGAGGAAAATGTAAAGTCTGGACGCAGAGTAGCAAGTAAGAAAATTAGAAAAGAATAAAACAGAAACGTTACGACGCACAGAGATATCAGGGCAAAGAGACAAGATGCAACAAAGGCTTAACACGTTCTCAGCTTTTTATTGCAAACCTCGTGTCGACTATCGGGATCGTCGCCTTTTGGGAGAACTTCGAAGATGCGTAAGATGGATAATCAACTTTTCAGTCAGCTGCTAAATAGCTTCTTTTGTATAGAATCAATTAATATCTACTAAATTTCAAGAGAGAACGCAATAAATTGGAATTGTACAAAGAAACAAGGCCACATATAAGTAATTCAATTTTATTATAAACGTGTCACTTTACTCGCTGATTCCTAATCTAACAAAACGTTCTCAGCGAGAAAGAAATTAGAAGATGCGTTTATAAATCGGTAATATGCCCGGCACACACAAGCAATTGCACCATATCGATTTCGATCGCGTTGCACTGTACTGATGACATTATAGAAAAATGAATGGTCGATTTATATTTCTTCTAATATTTAAATTAGATTTATTGTTCGACTTGGCGAACGACTCGATGTGATAGCTCGTAAGGCGATCATGTTTTATGTATTTTGATTGGAAACGTTTATTCGTGATTAATAGATAAGGATTGATTAAAAAAGTGGATCAATTGTCATATTATTTCCATATATTTCAATGCCAAGCTTTTAATATATTAATATTTCTTATTTATCGCAATAGTACACAGACTAGATTCGACCAAATTATGTAAAACGTAAATAGAGATTAAATAATTTTCATTCCTTTGGTTCTTGCACAGGTACACATATAATACATTATTCTTTTATATCAATGTAAAAACAGTGGATAAAAAAAATTTGAACACCATCTCTTTTGGAACAATTTTACACGAGAAAGAAGAATATTACTGTAAAGCACAAATATATTTCTATCAAAATACATATCAATTTTTGTTTGTAACACATGAAGTGCATAATTTTCACTTTACAGTAACATTTTCGCATAAAATTATCCTGAATGACGGAGTGTTTAAATATAATTTTGTTATCCACTATTTCTTACATCCGTCAATTAAGCTATCCGAAAAGTCGATACTTTCCCACGAATAGAAAAATAATATGCATATTCGTCACGTGACATATTTGAATAAAAACAAGATAAACACTTAATAAACTATAAACGCATACATACGTACAGGTGGTTGATAAATTATTATAAATTTCTTTCAAAGGTATTGAAAAAAAATATGTATAGACCTGAAAAACGAAAATTATATCTAATATAATATTCAAACATAACGTATCTATATAACGACATTAAAAAGTGATCACAAACGAGAGAATATGAAGATTATTTATATCAATATTAATAAAAATAATTTTACATTTTTTTAAAAAAATTCTCGTATTATTTATAATTAAAATTCAAAGATAGAAAAAAGTACGGCACAAATATGTCAAGAATAATTGATAAAAAAACAAATATATAATTTTAAGAAAAAATACCGAAATGATTCGTGACGTAAAATCTTACTTTTTGTCAAGATGCAGATCACAAACCAAGCATGTATCGATATGCATGACGTTTTATTTATTGTGCCTTTATTTATTGTAAGTCGGTACGGTAACTGTTCCGGTAAACAACTGCACGGTGTCATCGTTTCCATTCTCCTGATGCTGAAGAACCTTGACAATACTATAAACGAACGGACGATCAATATTCACATTAATCGTTATCGTCAGACAGCGCATTTCGATGTCCACTCCTGGAAACAGATTATCGGATTGTTCGTGGAAATCGCGGCGAAATAAGGGTCGCGATTAGTCCTTATTCGCTTCCGTGGCACGATAAAAGGCATTAATATGCGTCCTGTTAAACTACAATGAGACGAAAGATGCGATGCCTAGCCTACATCTAGTGTGCATTACCGTGAGCATCGTGATAGTTTCGCGAAAATCATCTACTTTCTCTTATATCTCTTTCGGTGATTTCTCTCGAATTTCGAAAAACAACTACGTTGTGCCAATTTCGTGTAAAGATTTACGAGATGCTTCAAGCCGCACAATTCTCTTTCAATTCAGATATCAAAGATAATGTTGAGATAAACATGCTTGTTGTGATAAAATTTCAGTGATTAACAGTAATTAATTATTCGATATTGATAATTGAAGTTTCTTTAGCAAATTAAATCTAAAACATTTTTTTTAATGAAACCTTGATTTTAGTATATTTTAATAAAAATTTATATTATATATATAGATATACATATAAAATTTTTCTATTTCTATATTAAAAATGTTAAGAAAAAAATTTATTTTTAGAGTTTATGACTAAAAAGACATTTCTAATACACTCAATGTATTTTATAGAGAAATCGAATATAATAATTATATTAAAGAATCTTTGCAATATAAAAAAAATTAATGAATAAAAAGACTATCTGTAATAAAAACACCGTACGTAACGCACACTTGCCAAAAGCGGGCGTTTAAACTATCATACAGATGATGTGATAGGAGACATATAAAATGAGACTGAAAAATGCGAGATCTGAAATGCTTAATACTTTATTAATAACTTCTTAAAAAAATGGAAAATTCAACAATATAATAAAGAAACACGCAGTAAGAAAATATTCAAACAAATCAATGGTTAACCTGGTGCAAGCGAATGTTAAATGAACTTAACAGTTAAATGAAGTTAAACAAATTATTATTCACTCCCAGTGTTCTAATGTTGTTATCTATTACTTTCTGTGAAGCCAGTTATAAATTTCGCATGATATTTCATTCTCTCGATTTCCAGGGTGACTGTCGATTTGTTTGAATGGAATTTTGTTTTCTCTTCTCGATACGGCGCGATCTAAGAGAGCTGCATTCATTTATGCATTAAGCTGTACTGTATTAAGTATCATATCGGATTATATTGTGTCGTAACATCAATCTCGAGATATATTAAGGGCTCGCTGAAGGTTCAACGACGAATCCGACGAATAGCGGAACTACGTTGTGTATAATGGCGTAGTAGAAGGGTCTGTCCGCGTTGAAGATTAGCGGCTCGAATGAATCAGCTGACAGTCCAGGTAAAACATGTACATCTATAAAAAAATCACAGGACCAAATCATACGGACGTGTCGACCCACATACGTTTCCGCGTAAGTCTCGATCGAAGCGATTTTGTTAGAGCACGATCGACGCCAAATTCTTCCGTTTCTATGGGACTTTCGAGCAACAGAAAGTTGAAAGATGCGACCAAAACTGTTTTCGTCACGTTGCACGTTGAAAATATCGCGAGGGAGAAACTTTATCGATCCAGAAGTACAGAGTACTAGAAAATTAGAAGCGACAGCTACGTAACAATATTTTTGTTCATCTCATATTAATATATCTGTTGTTCGATAGCGCGCATGTGTGATGTCCATATATGTATAAAATCATGTAATTTTTTTGATAAAGTGAAATTAAGTTGTTACGTTTTTTGTGGTAGTTTAATTTTATTTTTTATATCTTACGGTAACGCAGAGTAACGCAACGTAGTATAATATATGTATATAGAACGCAATGCAGTTAGCATAAGCGAGACAAAGACGAGCGTACGCACGGAGTGGGATCGGACGGACGGCCCAGTCGGCGATTAAGTTAACTAAGGCCCAGTTTCACAAGTGTCGGTTAACTTTTAACCTTAGATTAACTACTCTAGATTAACTTACTCTTTGTCTCTTTCTAAGGGGGACGTTAGAAGGAGACAAAGAGTGAGTTAATCTAAGGTTAAACGTTAACCGACTTGTAAAACTGGGCCTAATAGTTAAATCATATGTCTATCTTTGTCTAATGTAAAGGATAAACAAAGACATATATATGATTTAACTAGTTAGTTTACCAACAGGTTGGAACAATCGGGCCTTAATTAAGACTCCTGGGTAGTCACCGCGGCCATATTGGATTCTTACAATCGAGGTGAGGAAAACACCCAATTTTGTTGTGCATGCCATTTTCAAATAAAAAGACATTTCAATAAAACATCACTATAGATCGTTTCAGAACACTTCCGAAATTGGCCGAAAACTACCCTTTTCCCTTGACAATAAACAAACAGCCATAAAACGAAGCCTAAACATACGGGAAAAACAGCCGTTTAACGACTATCGAAAGAAGGTGAAAACGTTCCTTCCGCATGCAAATCTTACTTTTCGGCCAATTTTACGACTTTCACGAATATATGTTAAACGTTAGAGCACAAGCACAGAGCGAATAATAAAGAAATAGCATGCACAACAAAATAGGTCGTCAACATGTCACAAAGAACTCTCCATTGGAGAGAGTTTGATTTCTGCCGCGACGGTACGTCGTCACCGTCAACGCAGAGTTCTCGGCTCAGGGACCAGGAGCCTTAAATGTAGTAAATGATTTATATTATTTAAAAAAATTTATAAGGCAAAAATGTATTTTGTTTGCCATGTTTCGTAGTTGTGGAGAACCATATGCGGAAGATTGCCGCAAAACACAATAGGGATATGCATAGAATTAACTTTGCATATTTGGTCTCTTATGTAATTTTATTTGCTTTTTATTTTATATATATTAAATTACATCAATTTTAATCATTACAGTTATAAGCATTTTCAGACAAAGAATGATTTTTGTTTTACGGTAAAAACAGTAATGCGCGTGCCACTTCGCAAATCGACGCGTTATTTATTCTTCGAAACGCTATTGCGAAACGAGAAACGGAGTTATTGCGATAAACGAGAGCCCGTATATTGTATATTTCAAAAATTCCTACGGGGTAAAATATATGTACGTATAACGAAAAATTCTCTCCGTGTGGAACATCTTGTAACGAGTTGTATTGCAGAGATAAGAAGCAATACGGGAATAGTACAATTACTGACGAAGGGAGAAGCGAGAAATGAGAAGGGATCGGAGAAAGGAGAAAGTTGGAAAATAAAAAAAAAGACTAAAGAATCTCTTAGAATTAAAATAATAACAACAGGGTAACAGTAAGAAATGAGCGTAGTGATAGAAAATACAAGAAACATCTATCTATCTATAATTATTTTTAAATTAATGAGAAAGTGCGAGATAATACGCGAATCGCGGTAACGAAAAGCTGGTAATTTATCTATTATTTCATTCTCGACCATTATGTTCGATAAAATCTGCAATTTCAAAATATATTGGGCTGTATTGCGCGTGCGATGCCAAATTTCGATGTGTTTCCGCGCGGTTTATTGTGCCGTAATATTCGACGCCGCGCCGACTTGACTCGCGTTGTACCGGGTGGGGGTAAAGTTACCGACGCTGTGACCCGAGGGCTCAGTGTGTGCGTCGGAAGGTGGCGGGTATGGAACACGGATCGACCGCGAGTCGAGGTGTCGCGACGCGTTTAATTAGCGGGGCCACGATTAACCCGGTGTCTCGGTACCTTTGAACCTCTGGCATCCTCGCGTAATCTCGGCGTTCGTGCGTCGACGGACACGTCGAGACGCGCGCATCCCGCGAGATTTATTAGATCGAAGTGTGTCGCGCGATCCGGTCGACGCGGACGGAGCGGTGATCGTGGTTTCCGACGCCGCGCCGCGCCGTACTCCGCCGAGTTTAACCCGGGGAAGTGTTGGTTCGCTCGTTTTGCGATGTGAGACAACGATCGTCGCGAAAAAACGCGAAGGAAACGCGTGTCGCTCGTCGTTCGAATCGAATTACGGGGACGCGCGAGAGCGCGGCTCGAGCGCAAGCGTCGCGGCGTCGGCGTCGTCGGCGTCGTCGCGATGGATGGCGCGTGAAGTTAGCCGCGCGACATTTGAATTCCCTTCCTCGCCCGAAAGAGAAAGGCTTTCTCCTCGCATTGACTTGTGGAATGTCGCGGGTCGCGGGTATCCGTGGCCTTGAATATACGACCTTGTATCTCATTCCGTCGCGATGCGGCACGCGGATGTACGATTAACATCGGGAGTGACGTGCAAAATGCCGCGCGATCGTTGTAATATCTCGGTAATTAGCGCGATCGTAATTAGCCTCGTTCGGGGCTAGCGGGGGTGAGTGTTGTGTAAGTGCAATGAAGGAATCCGAGGGGAGGAAGAGGCCTAGGAGGCATCGGGCGACAGCGGAGCAACCCTGAGGTGAGTGTGATTTATTATTTATACATTTTTATGTATTTTTATTTCGCGGAATTGATCGTTTATCTCTATGATGGCATATTCTACGCACCATTTTGTATCATTGTACAATATAACGCGTATAAAATATTTTCAATTTTTGCTACTTCAGACATTCAATAAGAGGTTTATATTTGGAACATATTTTTTCAATACGTCTGAGATTTATGATTACTTAAATTATTCAAAAACTATGTGTATTAGCTTTTAATTGTTGAATTTCATAAAAGATTGCACCTCAGAAAAATAAGCTAAACGTCAAGAATAAAAAAAATCTTTTGGACATTACATAATTATCTTATTAAATACCTGAAACCAGATAAGAACTCTAATCGCTCGCAATAATTATTTCTTGAAGGATGAATTTTTTGGAACCTTGTTATAATTCGAGTATATTTCTGTTTTACAGTTCGACGAACTTTGCAACTCCGCTGCTGCGCATCGTTTCGGTGAGTTAAATTAACCCTTATTTCAATTTGAGATTTTGAATTTGTGAAAATTGAAAAATGCATGTTAGACATGCATAGAAAATGTGCATGTATCAAAGAAAAGAATAGAAAAAAATCTTGAATAAATATATCTCATTCAAAATATGGATGTATTGTTTCAAAATGAACGGGCTAGCACATAGATGTTAAATCGGTATATTCAATCCTATATCTAATTATAAAAGTATACATAAATTTATTGTATGCATACGAGAATGCGCACGGAATAATAATCCAACAAGCTAATTTTATTCCAATCTTTAGCCTATCTATTAATAATAATCGATTTTTTATATCATTTAAAATAAATTATACCAGATGTCATGATAGAGTGAAATCAGATGACGTGGACAATAGACAATAGCTTTAATTAAGCTAAAATCGTATATATTCTGGACTTTATGTTAATAATTCGATTTTATAAAAAAAAAATACACATCGGATGTGTGAACTGTATATTTTTAAGTACTGATATTTGAATGATTAAAATTGTCGCATCCGATTAAACCGATCGTTCGACGTTATGATGCGAAAGAAGTTTTTTTTGTATGAAACTGATTGCAGAAAAGACAGATCGTTTTTGTTATAGAAAACAATCATCTCTGTCAATAATGATAACGATTTCGTTTATTGCAAGCATCGTACGTGTATACGAGTGTAAAAGTACAAAACTAACGTTTAGCGATTAACGTACGCATTCAGACCAAAAACATAAGAAAAAGACGTAACCCTAAGACACATTAACCGTGACTGCCAATTCTGCTCAATTTTCAAACGCATCTAGACTTTCGGTTCGATCACATGGCCTTGGAATAAAGCTACACTTGGCGATTTGTATTCAATGTAATAGTAGAACGGCAGGTTTACGTCAAATTCTGGTACCGGTCGAAATGAGGAAATGAGCACGGGTCGGACAACTGCAAACAAAATGCAAATTAACCATGTCATATCACCGTCTGAGAAACTTCCGTTGAATCCTTTTCGCTTGTGTGAAACACGAATGTATGGTTCTTCCGCGTCGTTTCTTGCCCATTAATTAATTATTACGCTTACTGCAACGATTTACGGTGAAACAGATGTTAGGAAAGTGGGATATTCAGCGAAGAAAAATTAGGACTCATACTATATCCATTGCTAATATAATTTTTTATATTTATTGTAAAATATAATAATCATAATTCGAAACGGTTTCGAGCAAGAAATTAATCAACTCTTTAATGTCGAGTTAATTTCGTATCGCGAATTTGCCACACGCTGGAAAATTCATATGATAATCTTTTCCACATGTTGATAGTTTAATTAATCTATTTCCGGCGCGTTCACGCGACCATCGAATAAAGATTTATTCAATGGCCGATGCTGGATTTGATAAAAAAATGGTCGATTTATATACACTGGTATACTGATCGAAACACTGGGAGGGAGAGTCACAACTGTGAACAGAATACGAAAAACTGTTTTTTTTTGCGCGTTTGATTGTTCAAGAATTTCAAGATTTTTTTCATTTATGTTCTGTCGCCATTGCTTCGAATTTAATATACGTATGTTTCCTTTTATCGATTGTTCTACAGAAAAATTCTTATAACCATTTAGCGTAATTATGTAATTGAGGAATTCTAAATAAGTATTACAATTTAAAAAGCAAAGATACATGCATGTTATTTGCCGATAAACGATGTATGTTAATCGACGATGAATGTTATTTGAGAATAAGATGAGATTATAGAAGTGTCGAAAAATGAACAGAGATTTTTTAATTATATTGTTATAAAAGAGTGACCAGATGCTAAGAATGTCTAGCAAAAACAATAGTCGCAATAAAAATAGAGAGCTTACCGGACGGGAACTTTTTAATTTGAATTTACTAATAAATATTTTAATTAGAATATTAAATTTTTAGATAAGAGATTCTTCACCTCATTGTAAGATTCGTTACATTTTCGATACGTTTCGATACGTGACCGCCGAATAAAGATATGAAAGATATAAACGATATTTTGTTGTTAAGCTCTGAATACAATAAAATGATCGGCTTATATATATATACATATATATATATATATATATGTATGTATTATCAACTGCAGAAACCTACGCATTGTCAAACTTAATTTTTAACTTAATATATATTCAGATTTCTTATTAATTATTTTGCCATAAGTGTTGTAATTATTTAATTATAAAAGAGAATATACGTAAATACGTATATTACTTGGCTCTTAATGATGCTTCCTATTATTCAAATAGTAAAATATTTGCAGATTATACAAATAATTAAGTATTATGAATATGGTATATAAATATCAAAATATTTTTGAAACTCTAGAATCTCGTTGTCATAATTAGATCGAATAAGAATTAAAACCGTTCAATTAAGACAATATTGACAGTTAAATTTTTAGTTTGACAATTTTTTTTCGTAAAGTAGTACAAACGATGTTCCCTCGTTATGGCAAATATAATGATAAAATGGTCGACTTATATCGAATTCTAATGGTTCCCTAATTTCAAATAGGCGACCCAGTTTTTCTGATAGCTGTAAACAGAATATTAAAAAATCTTTATAAATTTTCTTGTGCATTTAAAACTTTTCATGCACGTCATAAACGTAATGTGCTCTGCCAAAGTGTTTCAACTTTTTATATTCGAATGATTATACTGCTAAATACGTGAATACGTATATTATTCGCCGCTAAATAATGCTTCCTCTATTAATCAAAAAAATAAAACATTACAAAATATACAATACAAATAATTAAGTATTACGAATATACGTAAATATCGAAATGTTTTTGAGATTTTAAAGTCATATTGTTATAATTAGATCGAACAAGAACTAAAAGAACAAGAATTAACAGTAAACACAACATCGACAGTAAAATTTTTAGGTTGACATTAATTTTTCGTACAGTACATCTGCTACATTTCTGGCACGCTTATACGACCTTCGAACAAAGATACAAACGTTCCTTCGTTGTGGCGAATATAATAATAAGACGGTCGATTTACGTTAAATTTTACTTTGAAGGAAGAAAGGAACCCGATCTTCGCAGCTGTGAACAGAATATTTAAAACATCTTTATAAAGGATATGTTCCACTTGACGCTCGAAATGCTCTTAGAATTATTTCATGCCTGCACTTTGTCAAATAAGGACA